TGAGCATAAGGCCTCATATCTCTTTTCTTTTCTGACTCCCACCTGTCTAAAGGTCTCTCGCTTCTGTTTTCTTCTGATTCTTTCTTGCATTTTTGCCGTGTTTTTTCTTCTTTTTCTCTGGTCTTTGTCCTCTCCCCCTTTACTTCTGGTTTCTTTGTCTGTGAGTTGCTAGTTTACAGCTTTTTCTTACTGTTTCTTTTTCTTTCTTTCTTTTCTTCTTGTTTGTTGTGGGGAGTTATCTTTTTCTATGTCTTACCTTTTGAGGGGTGCTTTCAATCCCCCCCTTTTCTTTTTTGACTCCCTATGTTGGGGTCAAGATCTTCATAGGTGCCCTACCTGATCTCCTGGAACAGTGTAACATATGTTACACAGGTCGTGTTAACACAGCCCCAGGGATTTACCTGAGCACTTCCACCCTGGTCAACAGGGTGTGCAAGGAGGCCCTGGACATTGCGGGCATACACTATCTTGTCATGCCCCTAGACACCCAGGCAGTGAGGGTGGTGATTTCCAACATGTCCCCACATGTGACTAACCAGGAGCTGGCCAAGGAACTTGAGCTCTATGGGGTTTCTATGAGTCTCTTTTGCCAACTGATGGTTGGAAGCAATGACCCAAAGCTGAAACATGTCTCATCTTTTTGAAGGTAGGTTTTCATGCTCCTTGGGGAGGGCCCACAGTCTTTGCCTTGCTCCTTGAACCTCATGTTTGATGGGCAGAGATTTGTGATTTATTTTTCTCTGGGGGAGACTGTGTGTTTATAGTGTGGTAGCTCTTTCCACCTAGCAGCCCAGTGCCTGCAAGGGAAAGTGGCCAGAACATTGGCAACTGCAGTGGTGCCAACAGATGGCACATCCACTTCTGGGACACAGGCTCTGCCCAGTGAGGCCGGGAGCTCTTCCCAACCTCCTTTCACCCCTGTTCCATCTGAGGGGGCTGGGGTCTTTGGCGTAACAGCACCATCCAGCGGAGGGGCTGGGGCTACTCCCCAGACCTCTCCCCCACCCATTTCACTTATGGTGTCTACCCTCCCGCCTCCAGTTCAGAGGTCCCACCAGGTGGAGGGGCTGATGCCTCCACTTCCCTCCTGCCTGCCCTTACTACCCTGGCCGAGGCAGCTGGGTTGGCCAGTGACTGTGGCACCAAGGCCCTGTCAGACGATGGTGCTTGGGCCTCCTCCCAGCTGCACTCCATCACTGCCTTGTCTGAGGTGGCTGGCCCTGGGGAGGCGGGCCAGGAGCAGTCCAGCCCATCCCCTATGAAGGATGGGCCACCTGCCAATAGGAAGAAGAACAAAGAGAGGAAGGTGAAGGGGGCCTCTCAGGACACCCAATCCCTGCTGGGACCCTCCTTGGCTGGCACTGGGGCGGCCCCTGCTGGAGAGCCTGACCCTGTTCCAGCCCTGTTGAGCACAGATGGGGGTGGCTTGGAGGTGGGAGAGGTGAAGGCGGGGGTCACCAACCCCTTGCCTCTCTCCCACCTTCCAGAGTCGAGTGTCAGTAAAAGTGATTCAGAATGCCTTTCTTCTGGAGGCCTGACCCAGGTGTTAGTAGAGGAATCTGCTGACCTCTTGGTCATGTTCCAGCCTACCAAATTGGATGAAGAAGCTAGTGAAATGGAGATCCAGCTTTCTGACCGTCACAAGCAACCTCAAGAGCAGAATGACCTCTCTCCCAGCAAGAAGGTGAGGATCGCTGTCTCGGAGTCAGTCCTTGACCTGGACAGTGAGAGGAGGCTGATGTATCTAGACATTGAGGGTGTAGACACTACATTTGTAAGTGACCTCCCACCTGGGGTACAGCCTCACTGTGCTTCTCTCAGAAATGTCCAGCCCATGTTGGCAGACCTGCCACTGTGGGTTGGCCATAACTATGGGGGTCTCCTGGCCTTTTTGAAACAGACCAAAGGACAAAAGAATGTAACAGAGTCCATCACCCAGTGGTGTGCAGATACTAAACTCTTTGCCAAGGCTGCCAGGGGTGTGTCCAAACTTATGCAACAGGATCTATGTACTTGGCAGATGGCTTACTGTCTGGGGAAGCTCACACAGTGGGTGAGAGATGAGTGGAGCCTGGGTGGGGGGGTCCCTGGAGTAGAGTAGGGCATGATAGGCCTTCCCCGACCTGTCTCTGCTTTTTTGCTCTGCTCTTGGGTTCTTGTTCTTCCAGCTACACCTTACTTTGTTCTTTCTCTCCCATACCCACACCCATGGTGGCCACAACCATTGGCACTTTTAACATCAATGGCTGTCAAGATCCAGTGAAATGGGAGGCCGTCCTGGAGCTTCTGTGCCAGAAGTGGCTGGTGGTCACCTTCCTCCAGGAGACATGTTCCGATGGGCTTAACTAGGTGGCTTGGCACACTGCCTGGTGAGGCCACTTGTTCCTGAGCGATGGCACCAACCTTAGCACTGGGGTTGTGACTCTCCTACCCCACAAGTACAACATGATATGGTGGTGGCACAGGAGATCATACCCAGCTGCCTGCTGACTGTCCATGTCACCCTAGCACAACACCACCTGCTACTTGTCAACATCGTGTACCCACTGATGGCCAGGAGAGGGTTTCTTTCTTTGAGACCTTGGCCACCCTCCTGCATGATGCTAGTGAGGATGATGACCTACTCCTCATAGGTGGGGACTTTAACTGCACCACTGATGCCTTGCTTGACTGCATGGGGCCTAAGTCTCACCTGCCCTAAACCCACAAGCTGTAGTCTGCCGTGGAGACTGCGGGCCTTGTTTACGTCTGGCAAACCCTGCATCCTCACGTGCACTAGTACACCTGGGACAGGATGAGTGCTGGTGGTCTAACCATGGCCTGCCTTGGCCACCTTTTTGTCACCAGACACCATCTGCCACGCCTGCACAGTGGCCACATAATTCCCTTGGGCCTGTCAGATCATGGCCTGGCCTGCTGTGAACTGAGCCTGCCAAGGAGGTCCTGCACATGGGCACCCTATTGGTGCTTCAACGTCAGCTTGCTTCAAGACTCCTAATTCCGGGACTGCTTCACCCATTTGGTGGGGCTGGGAAGCCGCGAGACTGAGCTACTCCTCCTGGAGTAGAAGTACACCCAGCTGGCTACAAATGAACTGTGCCACCATATCCAAGAGCTGGAGGAAGATGTGGCAGAGCTCAAGGCTGCTCTGCTGGATGCTGGCAATGATACCATGCTGTGCAAGAGCCTCTGGTTCCTCAGGAAATGCCAGCATGACTTGACAGAGAATGCAGCCCACAGAGCGAGGAGCTGTGCCCACTGGCAAGAGCTGTCAGAAACTGATGTCCCAACCCACTACTTTTTTAATCTGGAGTGGCAGCGAGCAAAGTCTTAGATCACCTCAAGATTCCTGAGGGCTGGATAATCACAGACCTGGGAGAAGTAAGTGAGCACGCCGTCGCCTTCTATCGTGACCTGTTTGCAGCTGAGTCGTCCTGCTCCGAGGCCATGCAGGAACTCCATGAGGGCCTGCCATGTCTCTGTGCCCTAGAGGCCAGAAAGCTTAAGTGGGAATTGTCTATGGAGGAACTGGCAGCCGCCGCGGCTGGCCTCACCTCCGGCAAAGCCCCAGGCCTTGGTGGGTTACCTGCCAAGTTCTACAAGACCTTTTGTCCTCTTCTTGTCCCCTGCGTTTTCCAGGAGAGTCTTGTCAACAAGGTCCTGATAATCAGCTGCCATTGAGTGGTGCTCACACTGCTACGCAAGAAGGGAGACCTTGGCTGCATTAAGAATTGGAGTCTGGTCTCCCTGCTGTGCAAGGACTACCTCTTGCAGACCCTGGAGGACTTTGGCTTTGGGCCCCTTTTCACCGGGGCCCTCTAGGTCTTGTACCAGGGCACCTCCAGCCTACTCAAGGTGAACAGTGTACTCTGCATCCCATTCCCTGCATGTAGTGGCATCTATCAGGGCTGCCCCCTATCAGGCATGCTCTATGCCCTGGCCATTGAGCCACTTCTGCACATGCTGTGGAGCTGCCTGAGTGGGGTGGCCTTGCCATCAGCCATGGGCCCATCCATTGGCCTGCTGCTCTGGCTCCTGGCTTATGCGACCAATGTGACCTTAACACCCAGGAAGACGCGTGAGCCCTGATGGATTGTCAGTGATCCTACGAATGTGCCTCCTTAGCCTGTATCGACTGGGCCAAGAGCGATACCCTGCTGCTTGGCATGTGGGTCAGTGTGATCCCCCTGGATTTGTCAGGGGGCCTTAAAGTCCTGGACGTGTTCCTGGGGCCACCAAACTTCATGGCATGCAACTAAGATGGCTTTGAGGAAGGGGTGGAGGTCTGCCTACAATGGTGGCGTGGGTACCTACCCAGCCTCTCCTACTGTGGACATGTCCTCATCATAAACAACCTGGTGGCGGTGACTATGCGGCACTGGTGCACTGTACTTGACCCACCACAGTACCTACTCAAGAGTCTCCAGTGCCTCCTGTTAGATTTTTTTCTGGGATGGGCACCACTGGCTTCCACAAGCTGTCCTTTATCTGCCTGTCACTGAGGGGGGCCAGAGCCTGATAAACCTCATGAGCAAGGTGGCCGCCTTTTGCCTGCAAGTCCTTCAGGGACTCCTCTATGGCGAGGAGTACATACCCTGGCAACAACTGGTGTGCTGGTTCCTGCTGGATAAAGCAGGGTAGGGATCATTTGTTTATAGAGGACTTTGGTCTATACGACCATGTGGCCGGTGTCCCGACCACATAACAGCATGTTAGGCACGACATGTAATACAGCGAAGGTGTCTGTCACGGTGTGATGTTATGAATATAATGACATGGTGCTCTTGGTTTGATGATAATTTTTTGTCTTTGCTTTGTATACTGGACCTGGACCCTGGAAGGGCCAACTTTTTCTACCCCGAACCTCTGAATAACGTAGTTAAAAAGTCAAATGTCCTTCCTTCCTTGTTTTACTTTACAGTTGGATTTTGACTATGAACTAATGGCATGTTTTATTCTGATATAATTTATTCTGTAATTTTTCTTTTTATTAACTGTAGGTCTCCTATGAAGCACTGGACAACAGAGCTTCATCTTCAGGATATGCTGGTTATCCAGTCAACCCAAAGAAGATCAGAAATGTGACACATGTTTAGGGAATACTTCTGCTTGATGTTTATATATCAGCTGTCATTTTTGCTTTTGGAAGACTGCTTATGAAAAAGAAATATCATCATTGTTTTACCTTTTTAAAAAAAAATAAGACCATAGATTTATTTTATTTATTTTTCACATCGTGAACACAACTACTGAGAGGAAATAACAGTTTTTGCTCTGGCACACAACATTCAACTCAGTTCTGTACACAAATAACTTTCTTTGATCTTACAGTTGGATCTATGCAGGTGAACTCAATGGGGTTCAATTTAATTCTGTGGGGCTCCACAAGGGGAAGGTTTTGTGTCATGAAGTCCCATGGTAGCCAATATGGCTCCATACAGGCACAAAGATTTGACCATCCACATCTGATTGTAAGATCAGGAACAATAAATGGTAGAGAGATATTAGTCCAGAACTGTATAATCTACAACTGGTTAGTATTATACTTGTTTAATTTAGTTTATGTAATTTAACTTATACTTTGTAACCATGTTAAGCTTATTAATTAACAAAACTTCTTCAATTCTTAATATGATCAAGGAAGGATTCTTATTAAAATCAGTTGATAATTCTCTAATAAAATGATATTTGATAGAATACAAGGTTTTCAGTACAAGTTTTTGCTAAAAGTGCCATCTTTCTGAAGAAAATGTCAATGTAATATCAAAAAGCCAAGAAATGTTCAGTTTTTAACAGAAATATGAAACATTTAAGTTAAGAAGAAAACAACTCCCTACCCCTTGTCAAGAGGAAACAAAGGCCAGGGGAGAGCTCCCTGGAAAAAAGGCAAACACTTTGGCGTTTACCTTAGGAGCCAGGAGGATTGCTGGAAGCAAAAGCGTTGGGCAACAGCACTTCCAGAGCAAATGCTGGATCTGGATTGGCCAGAGATGCACAGAACAAAGTATTTATGGCCCCAGAGAGGGGCATCCCAGGGAAGAACCCTGCAATGGGAAGCCTGGAGCAGAGGGGAATTCCCCTCCCAATGTCTGCTAGGGAAACTGCAGGAGGCAGGCACTGGGGAGAGGTTGTGCAGGGATCGGAGGAACCCTGAAGAAGCTGGTGCAGTGGACAGCATTGTGAGCAGAGAGGTACAGTGGAATAAGGACTTAGCTTTCCATGTAGGTGGAGAGAGATAGAGAGAGATAGAAAGAGAGGGGACCTGGGTGGCAGCAGGAAGCCTAGTCTTCTTAGAGGGACAGACTGACCTTTGAATGATAGCCTGAGGTAGCTGGGGAAGCAGAGGACAGTTTTCTTTTTCTTGTGGAGAGGTTTTTTTTTATTTTTGTGATCCTCAGTGTAAGGACTGTGGAGTGGTGAGAATGGTTGTAGGGGAAGGAGGAGCCCCATTAACACCACCTAACTGGCTGGGTGGGTTGGAGCAGGTTTTTTTTTTTCCCTTTTTCATATATTCTGCTGAATATTATAAGAAAAACATCAAAGATGTGGCAGGTTAGAATATAATATCTGGGAGAGGCTGAGGAGTAATTTTGTATCCCTTTTGCCCATTAAAGAAAAGAAAAAGCATCATCCCTCATGGGGCCCAATCCCTAAAGCACCTATAGTTGATACCCCGCAAAAAACCCTTCTGAAAATTACTTTTTGAATTTCTGACTCACAGGAATTGTATAGATGCCTTCTGCCCTTGCTGAGGTCCTATGGGTTTTAGCCCACATTATATTATGCCTCAAAACATTTGTCTCTAAACGTGGTCTTGTTCCTTCCTACACAATAGGCAAAATTCCGTTAAAGGGCCTAGTTTACTTATGTGCTTTTCATATGCTACCTTCTTAGCCTGAAAAACTTTGTTCATTTTCCTAGACTTGATCTATTGCACATGCTCAAGGGCAATCTAGTATGGTCATCTAGGTGTCTAACTTTGCTTACATTGTGTTCTGATTTTATTTAATCTGGGAAAAAACACTGCTTCCACTGGGCAGCCAGTATTTTGTTTTTAGTAAGTGTTTTCTTATTTTTATTCTGTGGATTTCACGGAGATCACCTGATTTCATGATTTCCACGAAGTGTGTCCAACTGTGATTTGAGTAGGTGCCTAATCATAGGCCCTTAGAGGATAATGCAGAAATGAGATACTTGACAAACAACTCCTTTCACACACTGCAGTGGCATTTCTCAGTAGGATTTGATGGTTTTCAGCCAGACTGATAATTTTGGTTTTCAGAATTTTTTTTCACTTTATGACTTTTTGCTAAAATTAAGTATTTTCCACAGAAAGACTCTTTCAACTACATGCTCTTTCTTCTATGCATTGATAACTTTATGAATTTTCCTTTATTCTGTATATTGATCTTTTGTATGTGCCAGATGATGTGTCCTTAGTGAGAAGTGATGGCATTAAAATTATTTCTACAATTATATTCTATGCAGCAAAGAGATGGAATCAAGATCTTGAATTTTTGGGGGAAATTGTTTCTCAGGGTAAGCATTTTGAATTTCATTAAGTTGGGACAGATTCTGCATTATTAGTAGCATTTTATAGCCAGTCTGGTAGAACAAATGCTGAGGCCAATTCATATTGACATGCCTAATTATCTAAAAAATGTTTCAGTTCCTGGAAATCTCTCCTCAACCTCCATCAGTCTTTTCTACTGGAAGGAGTAGGGGAGAAGGAGGAGTTCAAACTGTTATTTACTACAGTGATGCCAGAAACATGGTTTGTAAGTAACCATGTCTTTATAACTGAAATATAAATAATTTGTGCCTAATTATCTATTCATCCTTCTTTTGTAGTAACAAGGGACTGGAAGAAAAATCAATAGTATAATGTTATTAGTATTATTGTTGATATACCTTAGCACAAAGGGAGCCTAAATGACTTAAAAACCTAAAAATAATCCATCTATCTCAATAGAGGGAACCAGGATTCAGCAGTCACAACTGTATTCAAACAGGTCCATGTTACATTATGTTAGAATATTTCTTGTAAATCTTGTATAGAAGTTTAAATGAAACATTTCAGAATAATTTTATTTTAATGGAAAATGTCAAGATTTCAAATTTTTGTTCCTAATTTGGACAGATTTCAAAACCTCAGAATTTTCTCAAGTATTGAAATGACCTATTTTAGTCAGTTCTAGTAACACTCTTTAAAATGCTTTTCATTCATTTGGTCCTTGTTATGAACTATGTTACTGCTTAGGGAATGGCTGACTGAATACATCCCATCAAAGATTATAAGGGCTTTGAAACTGTATTTTTACTTTTTCTCCCACTAACCTATACCCTTTTGCATAAATGAAAATAAAATGCTGCCATGCACAAGGCTGGTGATGGGAGTTCTGTTGTTCTAATACAAGAAATTAGAATGAGACACTTTCACAAATTATATGGTACCTTTCACCAAAGGAAGTTCAAAATCTGACTTGACAAATAGGCTACTCATTTCTAGTTTCTTTTGGGCATACTAGAACATGTCGTGGGATCCAATTTATGGCAATGTGATTTTCTGGATGTCCCTTGTCATGCATAGAAGTTAAATAAGCATTAAGTTTTGTTCTAAATTGCCTTATGGACTTCTAGAGACCCTAAATATGCAGGGAATTGCCAAAGCATTTAATGCTCCACCATTCCCTTTTGTCATGGATGACTGATACTAAGGAATATTTCCAGTGATTTCACCAAGATTGAGATAAAGCCCTAAAAATATGATTCCCCCAAAAGTCAGATTCTGCATTTTTCTTCTAATTCTATAATAGATGATATGATAAAGCAATATGAATTTTGTCTATATCATGTGACGTTCACATGGCGCTGTATATGTCACTGTCTCCATAAAGCACACCTTTTGCCGAAATGTATCCTGCAACCACAAAATGTTTGGGCTAATAATAGTCTGGCACTGTTTTTTTGTTGCCAGGTACTCTAGTACATTCCATGCATCTGGGATATGTTCTTAAGTGGAAGCAGTGTATTCATTGTTGCTTACAGTATCTTTTAAAAGTATTAATTGACAAAAGGAATACTGTCAATGATATCTGCAGATTTTAATACCAAATTAATTCTCTTTAGACATTTCATATAACTTGTGTGTTATTTTTTATTTTACTTTTAGGTTGCTTTATAAGCTGTTTATTAGAGACAATAACACTTAGGATAGAAACCAGCTATAAAGTTGTTACACATTTTTAAGAACTAACTTTATAGCTGGTTGGCTCTTTTTATAGTTGAATAGTCATTTTATTATGTGATAATTATTTTGTAGTGGTTTAAATTTATTGCATGGTTAACCAGTTAATTATGGATAATTATTTTGCACTTGTAGCTGGTCTTACTTTGCACATGTGGCTGATCTAAATTTATTGTCTGATTAATTAGTGTAATAAATGTAACATGCATTACAGGCCTGAGTATTATCAGAGCCCTTTCATACAAGGATATGCATCGCTCAAAAAACATAATATGCTTAAAGCATAAAGTATTTCCAGGACATGCAATAGAGTAAACATGCAGGATTTCAGAGATTTTATGGAGATACTAATCTCCTATACACATAGATCTTCTATACATTGATTTTATGATTCAGGCTTGAAGAACATCTTAATATGGTTACACATCTCATTTTTGATGTTTGTAAATATGACAACCCCAGCATCTCAGCATGCTCTCTGGGCTGGGTGGGGCTCTCTGCTCCACAGCAGGGCTGGCACCTCCCCTGTATTCCCTGGCTGGAGCTCTGGCAGAGACTTCAGGCATAGAGCATCTGCCTGGATTATCTCTGCTAAGCAGGTATTATTGCCCCCACCCCTCTGCCTTATGCAGACACCTCAGCCTTAGCTAGCATACCACATGCTGGCTACCATCTGTGCCATGGGGGATGACAAAGGCAGGCAGGCTTTTTGGAGATAATCAACAGGTAGCTTAAGGTCCTTCCTTGGAAAAGCACTGTTTTCTTAATGGGCTGATAAACAGTTAGGGGCCATAAACATTCTCTGCTGGGCTGCTCAGGAAGGGAGGGGGATAATAAGAGCATCCTGCCGGGGCCTGGCCGTGGCCCCCTCAGCAAAGCTTTGTGGAAGGGAAGGGAGGGTTGCTCTAGCGCCCTTCAGCTTCTAGCCTGAGCCACTGCAGGCACGTGCTGGCATTTTCTCAGTCCGGGGGGGATGTCTGTGTGGTTAGAAAGTGGTTCATCCTAGCCAGGTTAGACTAACCTTCAGAGATAGAAACAATTCAGGCTCAGGCTTTTTGAATGTTTGTCCCTAGCTCTTGTGCAGACTTCATGTGCAGGTTTCCTTTAACAATAAAAAAAAATTCAAATTTGAGTGGACTGAGTAGAATCGACAGGTGTAAACCTTTATTCTTGCAATTAAAAGGTATTCACAGCATTGGCTACATGTTTACTTTCAGTATCTAATGATACTTGGTCTCATACATTTATGAAGTAGTGTATAGAGTCTTTGGTGCTGCCAGTGATCAAATGTTTAGTTCTTCTTCAACTAGTTGGCAATCAGTATGTCTACAGTGACTGGTGCAAAATGTCCTTGGGAAGGGATGCTTCCAAAGACGCCATGCCCATTTACTTGTGCTTGCATGCACCAAACTTGGAAATGTGGTGGTGAAGCTGCTCTGGGGGCATCTCACATAGATGATAACTCTGAAGAACCATGAAGAGGGAAGTATTGAGGGTAACTTCACTACTGAGTTTCTGGATTTGGTGCATGCAGGCATCAGTGATTGGGCATGGCATGCTCAGCAACTGAAGCAGAGTAAATGTTCCATATATGTATTCTGCCTACTGCTAGAGCTCAAAACCCTCTTGGTGACCAGCAATTCCCTTCTTGGCCCAACCCCACTCTTCCAGGCAGCTTTGAGACATATTGCCTTCAGCCAAACAACTGTATAACATTGGTAACAAAACCATGGTATGTCTGTAAGCATCCTGATACTGAGAGTTGTACAAGGCTCAGCAATTCTGCCTTCTCCTGTGTCAACAGGTTACATTGGAGCAGATGCTGCCTCTGGGAAGGCAGTATGCTAGTCAATTTTCAGTTGAGACTTCAAAACCTATCCTCTATAATTTGATCATTGCTTGTAAGTCTCTGTAAGTACAGTTAGGTAAC